TCGATATTCAAGTACATGTCACAATTTTTGTCATTTCAAACTTCATGTTATTTTATTAAGGAGCCTAACAAGTCAACCAAGTTAGCTTGATGAAGAAGGATACGATATGATTGTGTGATTGCACAATTGAAATCGATGATTGAGCATGATTAATTCTAGGTCAAATGTATGAATTAGGGATGCAAATGAGGTGGGATTTGGGTTCAGGGGCCTGCTGGGGATGTTTGGAAGGTGGGTCAATCTTAAAATACCCACGTTTCACATTTGCTTATTCCTATGTTTGATCTCCATTTTTTCAAAACTCACTTTCAACAATACATTTTTTTCATAAAATAATTTTACACGTAAATCAATTTTTTTTTACCATACATTCTCCAAAAATAAAATAAAAAATTGTTATTTCAAAATATAATTTCATAAAAAAGGGCTCGAATAGGGACTTGCTTTTTAATATTTAAATACGATTTAAAATATAAAAATAAAAGTCCGGGTGTGTTTGAGGTAAATGCCATATTTTCCATCCCCGTTGATTTTTATTTAACCCTTGTTTGATCCCCATTCTTTGGAAAAAAATGAATTCTTTTACAGTGGTTTGATATCATTTCAACCATACATTTTTCAATAAAATAATATTATACGCAAATTCAAAACTTTTCCTTATTTTTTAACCACACATTTTCCATCAATACATTATTAAAAAATTCATTTTTCTTCCAAAATGGAGCTCAAATAAGGGCTTAGCTGGAAATCCTCGACCTATCCCAAGTGCATTCTAGACCTTTTAAATAGAGCACTTTGACTATCAAATTTTTAAGTCTATAACACTTTGTTCCTGAGTTGAAATTTAAAAAGTAAAAATAAAAATAAAAAGACCACTTTTACCTTTCAAAATTTATTAACCTCTCCCACCTCCCCCATTTTCATATGGCTTTCTCCCTAACCATTATAAGCATATATTGTTCAAATTTACAACCAATAATCATATATGGAGACCAGTGCCCGAGAAGTAAAATTTAGAAGTTGTAGTAGTTTGTATATACTTGCACGCAAAACACACATATACAGAGAGAGAGAAATATGTCCACTCGACGCTCCATCATACATCTAAAGAGCATGATAATGTTCATAGTAAAGTATTCATCAATTTGAAGTTGTTTAAGCATATGCTTTGAGAAAGTTTGGCTGGTGATTAATGTTTGGGATAACAATGGTAGAATTGTTCGGGTTATTTTTTGTTCATAAATTTACGAAAAATAATCTATCTGTCTAGTCTAGGTGACAATAAATCATTGACAATGAATTAGAAGATCCACTATTACCTAAATTGATACTTCCTCCGTCCCAATTATATGGGCTGAGTTTCCTTATTTTATTGTCCCAAATATATAGTCATGTTTCTTTATTTAGAATGTTTTGTTTTTTAGGTTTACTATTATACCCTTATTTAATATGCCTAGTTATAATAAAACGAGATTTTCCACTTCTTGGAAATATGGACAAAAAAACTCTCTTTTCATCTTCTTTTGCTTGTGATTCTCCCACTTCTTCGTTTCCTTCACTATTTGTCTTCACTAAATATGCTTCTAATAAAATATATTTTCCATTTCTTATCTTCAGAAAAACACTTTCACAAAAACACATACACACGCACTGCCCCCTAATTCTCTACACATGTGATTCTCTGCAAATGTAATTCTCTAAAATCTGTGTCTAAACCATGAGTACGAAATCTAAAAATCATCCACATTCCATCGAAGATACCTGCACAACAATGTTTAGTAATGAACTCGACTCGAAAAAAACGATGAGGCCATTGCTTGATTTGAATGCTCCGCTGACTGAAGATGGTTATATTTTTGCTTCTCAAGAATATCAACATGTTGTCTCTCGGATGATCAAAATCTATCTACCCAAAATCTACGAAGACCAAATTGATGCTCTTGATGATAAACTCGATGCTGATATCAAGAAATAGTCGAGGCCCATTGCATAACCATGAATCTGTATGTCGTGATGCCACAATTTTTTTTTTTAATTTTTACAACAATTTAGTGACAAGGATTAATCTGGTTCAATGCCAATGTTAACAGCAATTTAATCTAGATGTTTTTGCCATGAAACTGGATTAAATTTAAAGCAACGTAATCTGGGTCCCTTTTTTTATATAGTGAATTGAATTCTAGTTTGGAGTAAGTTTTTACATCAACTTACAGCAAGTTTTTTATGCACGGATGTTGACATCATGGTATAGAGTAAAACGATTAAAGCTCCCTCTTTTATGTTCATTGATCCATGAGAAACTACCAACACAAATCTGCAAAGTTACCCAATTGAGTTAATAGCTGCCTTTGTCGTGACTAAAACTTCGAAGTCAAACTGAATGCAATTAGGTAGTTGCCCATTTCTAATCAATTTTTGTTTGTTCATATGTGGAATTTTATAATTGTTAAACCCCAAATTTTCCATCACCTCGATCATGCATGATTGCAATGTCAAATATACGTTGTTCAAATCTTCAGTTGGAAATTTCTCAAAAGCATTCTCCACTGCTAAAACGAAGTCTTCAATTGTAGTTGGAGCCTCTTGATGTTGAACTGAATCAATGGCTCTAAAAAAACCAAGGTCTAAGACATTCATATCGGGGCTGTTTGGAGGTTGACAACATAAATGAATATCGAATCCACCCTTTCTCGCTTTTTCTACGAAACTAATATCGTCAACATCCAAATGTGGCTTTGCATTGTCTTGTTGAATGAAGATGGTTCTAGAACTTGAACATCCATTTTTGTTTGATTGCAGGCAACAAATTTTCAATTATACACGATCGGACGACATCTTTAGTTATCGACAAATAGGCTTCGATTCCAAAGTCCCGGCTACACGATTTTTACTATTCCGCTTCGTTGGTTCCTTAGGCACAAATGGACATATTCCAATTTTTTCGTCGAATTCTTCATTTGTAGTAGCATCAAATCGTGGATGAGCAACGGCAGCCAAAAACATTATCTTCGTAATAAATCTTTTACTTTTACAAGTGCGAAAGGGCTCCGTTTCATCGGGATGGAGATAATACTTTTGTGATGTCTTAGACATATAATACCACTTTTCATCAATATGAATTTGATTATGCATCTTAACAAAAGTAGGTGTAGATGTGAGGGTACCTTCATCTACCATTGATAGGAAAATTCTAACCTTGCTTTCTTGTTCTCATCCAACAAATATGGTTTCACGGGATTTGAATTTGGCCGAATATGTCCTTCTTTGACTCTCCTATGTATGGATGATTTTGACATATTCAAAGCCTTCGATAAAGATCTTATATTTGTTCGACGACGGAAAGGGATATCCTTCATCTGTTCGAAATCAATTTCAACTCTTTTTCGACATCTCCTATTCAATAGCTTGGAAGAGAAATCTGGTACATCAATATTTGAAGTACTAAAATATTTTCCTTCATGCCAAATTCTAGAAACTGATTTAGTAAATATAGAAAAGGAGTTGGCAACTTTCGAAATGGTTCCTTTTGCTAACTTTCCATCTTTTCTTTCATGGAGTAGCATCTCAAAAACAACTATTTTTTCATCACATGAGAAGTTTTTCTTCTTAGTTGGATGACACATATTGTTAGCCACTGTGTCGGTAGTGTATAAAGAGTCAACATCTTCTGGGAATTGATTCAAATCAAACTGAAAATTTTGTGGAATGGGTGAATAGTTATCATCTAGTGAAGGAATGTTTTCTGGCGAAAAATTCAATTCAATGGAAATAGTTCTTGATGTCCTACTCATTTTTACTTGTGATTAAATCTATCTACATATCTCTATTTATAATGTGCAGTGATGAAATTCGAAAACAAAAGTGGCATTTTCTGTAGAAAATTCTCGTGAATAAGTTGGCAGACTTACAAACTGAAAATTTGTTTTTATTGAAATTTTAAATTCAGCTTTTTGTGGCGGTAAGTAAAAGTTTTTATCTAAAGTTTAAATTCTAGTTTTTGTTTAATTTGTTTCAAAAGTTCAAATTATGGTTCCAATGAATCTCATCAACATAATTAACTACTTTCAACAATAATTTACTACTACTAGTTGTTGAAAATTAAATAAGGGTAAATTAGGAAAGTTTTTTGCAAAAATTTCATTTTCAATGACATTAAATAAGATTTCTTAATCCGTGTGAAAAATCAAACCAGCCATATAATTGGGACGAAGGGAGTATCTAACACTATTAATGATAGATAGTATTACTCATTCATGCTTGAATTCTTCGTTACTAAATCATTAAAGAAAATCACACAAAAAAGAAGAAATGGACTAATAAGAAAAAATGACCTTAAAGTCTTATTTTTACTCCATTTTCTCTATTGAATTTGCAAATCTATTGGTTTCACTATTTGAGGTGGCTTTTAAGAGAATGTTTGAAAGGAATTAAAATAAGATTTTTAGTGAATTGTGATAAAAGTTTTTGAAATATGTGATTGAATAGTTGTGAGATCCATGAAACATGCGATTTGTTTGATTTTGACTTAAATTAAAAATCAAATTTTAATCCGTACCAAACATGCTGTAAAGTTAGTGGAGGTTAAATAACCCTCCATCCGGGGAGGGTGAGCGAATTAAGCCCCTCTTTATCTTCCATTATTTCAAAATTCTTTTTTTTTTCAAACTCATTTTAACTATATATTTTCACAATAAAATATTTTACGCGTAAACATAAAATTTTTTCTATTTTTTAACAATATATTTTCCAAAAAATCACTATTACGAAACTCATTTTCATTGAATAAAATAGACAAACACGGATAAGGGAAGGAGGTAAGAATGATACTATTTTTTTTTTTTTTTTATTTTCTCTTCATATTTTTTCCTTTATCTTTCATTTTTTAGGAACCAAAATAAGGTTATAATAGGGATCCAAGTTCCACAAAGTTAAAATATTGGGGGACCCAAGTGCTTCATTTAAAAGGTGGAGGGATCCCAAATAGAATTTCCCCAGAAGGTTTTTCTTCTTTCTTTTTCCCTACAAACAAACACAACTATCAGTGTCCAATTTGCTCAACTTGCGTGGCCAACCCCAAGACGGCGATACACACTCTCTCACAACTATTTCTTCCTTCGATCTCATCGATAATTGCCGCATAAGTATCAGCTTCGCCGTGTAACTGTGGCGGTAGCAGGGCGTTAGATTCAAATAAGCGCGTTTCGCAAGAATTTGTTGCTCTAATAAGAAAAAGAGGAAAAGGGATGGCACCGCCGGCGACAGAAGGTGGTGGTGGTGACGATGGAGGAGGAGGAGGAGGAAGGCAACAGCAGCAGCAGCAGCAGCAGCAGCAGCAGGGTTTTGGACAGATGCTGACGGGAATTATAAGAGTGGCAGTGTTTTGGTACTTTGCATCCAAATTCTTTGGACCTAAGAAAACCCCCACTCAAACCTCTAATCAGATCTCCAATCTCTTCCACAAGGGTGAACCTCTGGTCCGTCTCTAAACCTCCCTGAAATTTTGTATAATATAGTGTTAACGTATATAATCATAAACGAGGGTATATATATGTACACGGACTTATGATTTGTATAGATTAGCACATATCCCCGACTCTAATTAATGAACACGCACTGTATACCAAAAGTTATGTGTATACATACACAAAGATGCACAAAAACATGCTAGATGAGTTGTAATTAACAGTTGATAGGGTATAATTCTTGCCATTCACTTGTTTAAGTTTCTGTACTTTGAGAAGGATTTTTTAATCAAAATAATTGAAAGTTTCAATTTTTAAGAGTTTAGTGTAGCGGGGGCTGTATAGAAAAGTAGAATTTGTTATCAAGCTTTTCAAGATATCTTGAATTCAGGAAGTGTCATATTTAAATGGGATTGCTCAAAGAAGTAAAATTGTTTAGAAGACTTGATTTTGAGGAGTACAAGGCTCACAGTGGTTTAACGAAGAGAACTTCTCAACAGACTCTTAAGATTTTTAAACTATAAAATATAAGGGATCGACGAGAGAGTGCACACTGTTCATGATATTGTTGAAAGACTTGATTTTAAAGGGTTGAAATGGTGCTGCCTTACAAATGGGGTCTCAATTTAATTATACATGTTCTAACCCTTTAAAGTTTCAGAGAAGTGGTGTCATTGATAAAAGACAAATTTGCGATGTGATTGTTCAGAACACTTAATTTTGAGGAACTTAGAGAAGAGGAGCTGTTCAAAAGATGAATTTCAATCAAAATGTTGAAAAACTTGATTTCGAAAATGTGATGAACTGGGGGTCTTTATAAGTTTTCTTAAAACACACGATAGTTTTATATCAAATTGTTCATGGTTTTTGAATATATTCATTTGCCTAATAAAGTTGAATCTTTCTAAAGTTCAAACCGGTGAAAGGGCTTGTTTTGAAGAGTTTGGAGTCATGGAATTGTTAACAATTATGAAATATCAATCTAACAGTTCAGCTGTTGGAATCTTTTATGGTTTTTATTGATGTGTGTTTGTCTGAAGAAGATGAATTTTGCAACCAAATTGTTGAAAACACTTGAAGAGTCTAGATGAGAAGGGGTCTGAAAAGCATTATGCTAAAGGAATGGTGATCTTTCACTAACTGGTATAAAAGAGGAAGTTTTAGTCAAATTTCAGAAGTCCGTTGTTCTACCCTTTCCTAGAAGTCCGTCACCAGTGATTTTATTTTGAGTCCCTTCAATTTCAAATGCTAATTTAGTTTGGAAATATATGAATTGCTTTTGGTCCATCTCATCTTTTTCAATAGATTTTTTGGTTTGCCGTTTTGGTTGAATGACTTGCTCTTGAAGTCACTGAAATGCATCTAATAATTATGATGCAGTTGCAGATGATTATTTCCCAAATCATGATATTCAATGTGTACGGTTGCTTTGAACACTATTTTCTTAGGCATTTATGGTATATGTGTTCTGAATTTGTTTTAATGATGTCTAAAAACTTGCTGTGGCCCATTTATAAGAGAAAAACATAAACAACTGTCTTTAAAGCCAATTTTCTTAGGAGGGAAAATTGTGATGCATCCCCTCTCTTGGCTACCTGATCCATGAGCATACCATCTCTAGTTCTATTAACAAATATCATCTACAAATCTCGTTTGTTGGATTGAGTACAGTTTCCTTATAAATTGAATAGAGCGCTTTCTATATCATAGCTTTTGGCTTTATACTTCTAAAATTCCACATCATTTCACTTTTTGGCCAAAAAATGATCATCTCTTTGATTTTTCCACTTATTGTCTACCTTCTAACTTGAAACCTTTGTATATTTATTTTCAGGATATGTGGTTGTACCTTTCAGAGCAGGAACATTTTAATGATTTTGGCAGTGAAGGATCACTTTTTTGGCATGAGACAAATATACCTTATGCTGTTTGGGGTCCAGACAGTACCAGGTCTATATCGTTGAAGTACTATCCTTCTGAGGTATCAATTATGGACACGTTATTGTGATGTGTATATACATATATCTTTATATGTGTGTGTGTGTGTGTGTGTGTGTGTGTACACAACTGCTTAAAATCAAACTTCTGAATGTCTACTCCATCAAATACTTCTAGAGTTATGAATGCTTGTGTTGGCTTTCTTTTATTCAGTGTTCATCAAAGGTGTTAAATAAAAGGATTTATTTACCAAAAGTGGAAAATAATATCACTTGTGATTTACCTCTCAGGCTTTAAAGCACAATGGGAGTCTTTATGCTCATGTTTTCTTTGCACGTTCTGGCTACCCACCAGATCCCAACGATCCTGAATACCAGCCATTCGCTGCCTTTGGGCGAACCCACCGTAAGTTCATGTTAACTTATTGATTTTTTCCCTCTCTTCGTTGAAAAGTGGAGATGTTGTAATGTAAAACTCTTAACAAGATTTTGTCCTTGCCTTTAGCTGTTGTAACCTATTTTCCTAAGTCAAAAGCTGACAAAAGGAAGAGTCTGTTGGGGAATTCAGAGGACACTCGTGGTGATGAAAATGTCTCTGAGGTACTCACTGTAATGCTTGTTTGCTGGTTTCTACTCAACCTCCTAAGCCTTTTGGTTGTCATCCTTGCTTCGTAATTTTTGTTTTGGGCTATAGATGAAGTTATTAATTTGAATATACCCTGTGATGATGTTAAGATTTTCTTGCACGTTTTCGTTTTGTCTGTTTTGTGTAGAAACCTATTGCTTTGTTGAAGAATTTAGTCTATTGCTTCAGGTAACTCAAGATGATCAAGTTGACAACAGAGAAGGTGGACCAGTTGAATGGATATCACATTGGAAACCAAATATTACAATCAATTTGGTTGATGATTTCACAAGGTAAATTTTTCTTAAAAGATTTTTTTTGAAATTCTTTTTGAGAATGTCATTTTACTGGCAGTAGTTTCATTGTTATTAGCACACTTGTTTAAATACTTTCTTGTAAAGATGAATTAGCACTTTAAAAATCCTTGTTTAATTCGTATATGCATTACCATTGGTTGCAATTCTAATTTTAGCTTTACTGGACCTTAGCAAGAAGAAGGTTTTTTTGGATTGTGAATTCAGATTTTTCATGACAGTTGATTTCCTTCAAGATTTTTTCATGATGGTATTTTTGAAGTTTTGATGCAATGAAATGATAAACTTACAAGTCTGGCTATCTTGGTCAAGTGAGCTATTGAAGAATAGTCAGTGAAAGGATGCATAAATAGTCTTCAAATTAAGTTTTCTCTTTCCTAGAAATATGCTTCTTCAGTATCATTTTCCTGGAAAGTAGTAGTAAAGCAGAATGTGGATGAGTGTAAACTATCAGTAGGAGGTGGTGTAGCATTTAATTGCTTCTGACTTTAGTTAAATGGTATCACTATGTGCCATTGTAAAAAAAATGAAAGAACAAGCTGGAAAAATGCATTCTCACATGTGATTATGAATGCTGAAGTACTTCTCAGGTTGATTTCATGTAGAGTATGGAAACTGCAGCATTTTATATTTGTAGATTGTGCCATATATTCATGACTTGCATTATGACTCAAAGAAGTTGTTAATGTTTATATTATGGGTTTTCTGTGAATATTGAATTGCAGTTTTTATCCTGGGGAGGTCTTTCCCTGAAATCTGGTGGATGAGATGCATTTATACTGATGTGCCAATTTTTGTGTATTTCTGCAGATATTCCCAAAATGCGGTTCCACCAAATATAGTGCCTTGTATCCTTGAATTATCATCTTCATTTTACATTCACTGTTGGTTTCTTTGTGGAATTTCTCTTACACTTCATTAACTTTTGTTATTCTTGGTGCCTCTTCTCCATGTATTTTGGCTTCTGGTTTGCGCATTGAGAAAGTAAACTTTCCAAGTTGAAGCGATTGACCAATTTGGTCCTGATGTATTGTTAGTTGAGAGCAAACCGATACATTTACATAGCTACAACGTCTTTTCTGTGATTTAAAGCTTCGCTTTAGTAAACAGAAATTGATTGTTGTGGAATGATTGCTTGTGTTTCATTGACTATTTCCCTAATATAATATCGTAAAGTAGCATTATAACAATTACTTTTGATGTGTATCTTTTGAAATTACCAGTGAAAGACATTTTTTGAATTACTTTGTGGTAGCGTTTGCATTTGTACAAATTTTTTTATTCAATCTGACAGCAGGGCTAGTTGAGTAGTGGAGCTTTAGGTTTTGTAACATAGAAAACTTGATGCACCTGTATTTGACCAAGTCAACTATTTTTCTGAGAATATTTTTTTACTTTTATTGATTACTTCATATTTAGCCCCTCTTTGGATTTATATATTCATGAACCTCATTAAAATTTGGAAAGAAAATTGTTGGTAACTTGAAAAGAGAAGGATTTGATGCTTCCAGTTGACAAGGTCATTTACCTTGTTTCTTTTGGATCAAAGGGAAATAGATATTTCACATTTGCTGAAAATGCCTACTCATTTTTTGACCCTTAGTCTAGAATGACAAACTTATGTCAGGGTGAAGGTTTAAATAAGATTTGTAGATAGTAGAGTAGATTTTGACACTCTGAACTATGTTAGATCTCACATAAAGCTGAGTAAAAGTCTGCTGAAGACTACCTTGTAAATGTGAAATAACAGAATTAATTATTTCTTTGGATTGATTAAATTCTATGATACTTGAAGATGCAGAAAAGCATAATTCTCTGTATATATCTTTGTGTATAATATTTGCATCTAATCAAGATTGTATGATATGATTCAGCTTACCAAATTTGTTGCATGCCTCTGTATTTTGATTGAATACATGGTTTGCCCATCTCCCAGTGGTTTCACAAGTTTTGGTTACTTTGTTGATTTCAATTCATGTTTGTTCAGCTTTAAGTTTTGCATTTCTATGTGTTAGCAATTCACAGCCTTTTGCTTATGTTAAGATTTTTGTTTTCTGTTGGTGCCTCTTTAACTGAGTAGCAAGAGGTGCCATCAAGACTTTTCCATGCAAAAATTGTTTGTTAAGAGTTTTTATATTTTTAGTTTTTCAATATACACAGTGGTAGTTTATCCAATTCTATTATCTCACAATAGGGTGACAAAAGCTTTATGTTGTTCCATTCCTTGACTTGAATTCTAAGTCTTGAATATTGAGCCCACCACAGGAAATTACTATCCAACAGTCTTCTTCAATGAGTTTTGGTTGCTTAGAGATAAGTTAATACCGTTAAATGAAACAGTGAATGAGTTGCAACTGCACTTAGAGGTGAGTCCCATAAGCATGACCAAGTGGCAACTATTCCTGCAGATTGATCAATCATTCCAAATTCACCGGAGCTATGGAAGCATGCTTGAAGGTGAAGCTGATGAACTCAAGGTACTGATATCATCTCTTATTGTACCCATTATGTTCATCTTGACATGGACTTTTTCAAAAGCACCCAAAAAAACAAAAAAAAAAAAAAGGGAAAAATGTCAGAACTTAAAATGATATTTGATTGAATTATGTGGTGGTTTTCTAAATGTTTTGCTCATTGTACAGAGAGTTTTCCTAGAAGGAAATCCTTATCTTCTGGCCATTACCATGGTGGTTTCACTCCTACATTCTGTGTTCGACTTCTTGGCTTTCAAGAATGGTAGTGACTTGAACACTTTTTCATGTTTACCATGAACATCTTTTTACACATCGTGTCAATATAATTTTCTCTGTGCAGATATTCAGTTTTGGAATAAAAATAAGTCCATGGAAGGACTCTCTGCCAAGTCAGTTATTGTGAACTTTATTTGTCAGCTCATTGTCTTCCTCTACCTGCTTGACAATGAGACTTCATGGATGATACTTGCAAGCTCTGGCATTGGTTGTTGTATTGAGTTCTGGAAAATAGGAAAAGCTATGCACATTGAGGTAAAACTTTCAAGTGTGAATTGAAGTTTCATCTTGACTTTCTAGTCTGAAACTTCAGAAAAATTGAGCAATTTGCATTGAGACCTAGTTCTTTTTTCTTACGGCATCTACTGAAACTACTGTATGGTATATATTAATAATCAAATTTCGTTTATGTTTGTGTTTATGGGTTCACCTCTTCCAGATCGACAGGTCTGGTAGCATACCGATGTTGAGGTTCCGGGACCGGGAGTCATATGCTAAAAACAAGACAAAGGAATACGATGATCTTGCTATGAAGTATCTTTCGTATATACTCTTCTTTCTTGTTGCCTGTTTCTCTCTGTACTCTTTGAAGTATGAACGCCACAAGAGTTGGTATTCTTTTATTCTCTCATCCCTTACAAGCTGCGTTTATAAGCATCACGTCGCTATTTATCTCACTGCCCTCTCTTTCTGTTTATTATGAGTAAGATGCAATGTTAATCTTTGTAAACATGGATATGAACTTTTTATCAACTCTCATTTGGATCGAGTTTGGAGTTCATCCTTGGCGGTAAACATGACTTGCTAAAAAAGATTCTCGATTGGGGATCAAAGAATTTGTTTATCATGTATTTTGTCAGAGTCCATGCAATTTGAGAATCAGATGCATTATATTCTAATCGATAATAGGTAGCGTCAGGAAATTTAGCTACGTTTCATTTTCTTTGCTGTAGGTTTTATTATGATGTGCCCCCAGTTGTTCATCAACTATAAGCTGAAGTCTGTCGCCCATTTACCTTGGAGGCAGATGACCTACAAGTTTCTGAACACGATTATTGATGATCTCTTTGCATTTGTAATTAAAATGCCAACACTACATCGACTTTCTGTGTTCCGCGACGGTGAGTTCTAGTATAAAATTTTGCATTCCTTAAATTTTGACGTCTGAATGAGATGTTTACTGTCGTGTTTTATTCCATCTGAATTGGTTTTTATATATATGAGTTATGACCTTTCTCTTTTGACTTGCAGATCTTATATTTTTGATATATGTATATCAAAGATGGGTCTATCCTGTGGACAAGAAACGTGTGAATGAGTTTGGTTTTGCCGCGGAAGATGATCAGGCTTCTACTTCTACTTCTACTTCTACTGATGCAGCTGAACAAACAGAAGATGAGAAGAAAACTAATTAAGCTATAGCTAGTTTAGATGGAAAGATCAATATTTTCCAACACAAGACAGTTATAAAATATGGGCCGAACAGTCATGTCAGTCTAGTATTTTTTTTTTTTTTCCAGTTTGAATATTGTTTTGATTCGTAACTACCGTGATGTAATCAAGATAATTTTAAATTGCGTGGCTTTATTAAGAAGACGCAGTGTTCAATTGTGTTTAAAGTACTTTAATGTGATCACAGGACAAACTGACTTCTTAGAATCTGTATTATATCTTACAATTACTTCAAGTGAAAAAAAATTTCTGGTACTCTGAGAGTATGGAACTCGCTAACTTATCAATTCAATAGCTATGGGAGTATTGAATGCTACAATCTCAGGGCATACATGTACAAACGTATTTAACAGATTGATTTACACGTGTTGAGTTGACAACATTTCATAGGTTGGTTTAACGCTTTTTTGTCCAAACAGTTAGTGAAATGTTGTTGACTCAGCACATATAAATCGATCTGTTAAATACATTCGTACAAACAGCATAATTTCATACACGAGTGATCGATAGGATGTAAATACTAGAAAATTTGAATATTTGTTTTATTTATATCCTCTGTGATGTAATGAAAATGAAAGTCTAACCGGGTGGGTCTATTAAGATGTAGTTCTCAATTTGGATGCAATGAATTTCTAGGAAACTGTTTTGTTTTGTTTTGTTTATTCTATGATATCGACTTCAAGTCTATGGCATATAGTTAAAGAAAAGTTGCGTCTGATCTCAGACACCTTCTCTTCATCTTCATTGGACATCAGTCGCTGGCATTGGTCAGCATTAGGGACAATATATGAATCACCTTTGGTAAGAAGTGATGACTGATGACACAAATGGGAACACTCCAGTGAGGGTCCCAAACCTTTGACCGTTGGGAAGACGGAATCCTAAACCTTCCATTTCTTACTCTCTTTAATCCAGATGAATGGTAACATTTAATTGACTCTTAAAAACTCGATATTTCATTCATTTAAAATGACTTTTTATCCTAACTTTGAATCAGAAAAAGGAAGAAAGAAGAAAACAAACAGAAAAAGAAGAAAAAACTTCCACATCCTGGACAGCTAGCCACCACTGCA